CCGCTTTGATGGTGCTTCTGTCTATAAACTTGACAAGAATGGCAAGATCTATGAGCATAAGGTGCACAATGTCGCAATGAATCCACCAACGAAATTCAAGGTCCTACCGGTCCATGAGCTAATCAGATCACTTGGTTGCCCCTCTACTTCAAAACCAACTTATTTCGAAGCTTCATCACAATATCTGTGTGCTGGGCCATCTTATTTGAGATTAGCATGGATAAGATGCTACATCTCATTGTTCCGTATAGCGTGGGTTTAGCATGATACCTCCGAGTTTTGTATTTTTCAGTATGATAGCACACAAAGTTACTGAATACTATTGAGTCATGACAGTTGTATATATGTACAGTGGTAGTTTATAGAATAAGACCTCGTAGTTAAGGTGTACAACACCTGTTATTGATTGTTAAGCATCAGTCAGCAAACTAGTCTGACATGTTTCTATTCCCAGTATCGAGAGTGGTGTTCTTGTGGTGGCCTAGTTGACTGAGCATATTTGTGTCAGCCCTGCGTATTATATGCTAAAAACAGAAAAAAAAGAGGCAATGGTCCCCTCCCCTGTGCCAATGTAAAAACACGACAAACACAAGAGACATCAAATGCGGGACCAGTTTGAACCCGTAACTATCAGTATCGGTACAAATATCCACAAACACAGAGAAGATGTTTGGAAAAAAAAGAAGGATAAGAAGAAGCATGATGGACACAAGAATCAATACCAAACATATAAATTTGTTAACATTATGAACATGGATTCGAAATATTTGACACAGTGTTCCCGCTATTTAATAGCCAAGAGCCCAAGATAAACCAAAGTACACAATTTTGAAATAAATAGTTTTTTTTGTAGTGATAATCAGAAGAATCAACACCTATTATTTTCATATTATTCACACACGCAGATTTCATACTCTAATAGAACATTCACATGAGTATATAAATTTCAGGAAATGGTTCCAAACGCGTAGCACTAGCAGCAAGAAGTCTACATCAATCCACTATATAAATGCTAGTATCAAACTTGAACGTAAAAGGATTTTGCATCCTAGACGAAACCTAGTCAGCTTAAAAATGAAAGCCACATGCCCACATGTTGGCTGGTCCAAAATGCTGAAGCTTAATAAGAAGAAAACAAAGGTCACATCGAATAATCACCTGTAACACGAACCACATATTTGATACGGAAGTTGGGTTGAGCTGAGCCTCCACACCCCCACAGCCCCACTCCTGTTGTGAGTGTCAGTACAGCAACGATTTTGGTCCTGGTGAAAACCTTCACTTTTCTCATACTCTGCTTGCCTCATTGTTTCCGAATTCTGATCTCAGAGAACATGCTTGTAATGGACAATAGATGCTGGAGGAATAATGCTTCCGACCCCGATAGGAATATGATCTTCCAATTGTTTTGCAGAAAGATGTAGGACAAGCAATGCCTGGGCAACCTCACTGCATCCAGAAGCCCACAAATCGCCCCTTAGACATGCTGTCCCTAACCATTATACATCATATATATAGAAATAATTCCCCAAGAACAATTTTGCACATGCTCACATTCCTCATTGTGAGATGCCGATTCTTTGGTGAGACCAGCTGCTCAACTCAGCAACCTTAATCAGGACCAAACTACTTCACGCAGACTTTTCAGGGGGAAATACAAATGAGAGTATGATACCAGGATGGGAACATTCGTACAGTGGATGGAGGTGTAATGAGACTATGAGAGTAGGGAGGTGGCAACTGTGGGCAGTGGTGACTAGAGAGCTAAAGGCAGTGGATTGGACAGCATGGCAACGGTCCTATTATCTCATTAATAGTGATTTGTTATTTTATATGATTGATCAATGTGCCTGACTATCCATATATATATATATTTTTTTTTTAAAAAAAACACTATTTAAGGTCTACATCAGGAGACTAAAAGTGCAACCAGTACATCAACTACAAACTCATATGAATTAATTCGTATTATTAATTCTACCGAATTAATTTGCAGCGTGCTACATATTTACAGCTATGCACTTTCTATGGATGCCGTCATGATCCAGGACTGACATCCATCACTCAATGCTACATTTGCGTTGCAAAAACTGAAAAAGGAAAGAAATATATAGCATAAAAAAGAACTATAAGAGCAAACGGATATCGAGTTCATAACTAAATACTACTCTACTACGCAGCACCCAGATGCTTATGCGAGCAATTAAGGGGCAACGTCGCCACGAGGCATGAAGCACCAGGCACCGAACAAGCAACCGCGCCGGAACCATTGCTTGCGAAGCGCGGCCGCTGCTGAGAGTCTGCGGTCTGGGTTGCTATCCGGCAGTCCTACCAAAACCTTGAACCCAGCCGGAGACAGAACCTCCGGCAGCTGCAGGTGACCGCCCTCCTCGCTGACCATCTTTCGAAGGAAGGCCACCTTTTCGGCCGGCACCACGCGCTCCAGCCCCTGCCACTCGATGATGCCCTCTGTGCCAACCACTTTGCAGCATCTTTTTGAAGACCTCGCCGTCCGGCGCGCCGGAGAAAGGCACGCCGTTACCGGCGACGAGCTCGGCCATGATGCAGCCGAGCGACCACGTGTCGACCCGGCCGTCATAGTCCTTGGATCCCAGGAAAAGCTCCGGCGCGCGGTACGGGCTGGCGGACGCCAGCGGCCCGGAGTCGTCCCTGTCCGCCTGCGCCGCCGGCTTCGACATGCCGAAGCCACATATCTTGTACACCATCCTGCCGCTCGCGGCGTCCATGTCGACGATCACGTTCTCCGGGACGATGTCCCTGTGCAGGACGCCCGCCATGTGCGCATGCCTCGTGCCGGCGAGGAGCTGCTCCATGACGTCGCGCACTTCGTCCTCGTCGAACGGCTGGCCGTTAAGGCGCCGGACGTACTGGCGCAGGTTCATGGGCCCAGCGTACTCCGTGACGACGAAGCAGTCGCCGTCGGCACGGCTGTAGTCGGCGTACGCGGCCAGGAGCTGGACGACGGAAGGGTGGCCGCCGCACGCCGCGAGGGACATGACCTCCCGCTCGAAGTCGGGGAGAGGGGTCGCCACGAAGCTGTCGTCGGTCCTCCCCGAGAGCCACTTCACGGCGACGAAGCACTCCAGCACGCGGTCCCAGGCCTCGTACACGTCGCTGAACATGCCTTCGCCAAGCTTCTAGCGGCGCTCGTACCGCTCCGCCACGGCAGCCAGCCAGGGGACAGGGGACAACGCAAGAACCGCCGCCGCATTGCTCTTCTCCTCGGGCGGCTCCTCCTCCTCCTCCAGCTCCGAGACGGCGGCCATGGATCGCTGACTCGATGTGGCTCGGAAACGCTGGCGATATTTAACTTTTTTAGGACGTCACGTGTTCAGACAACGCTCTTAAAATTGCTCTTATATATTTATCATTGAAAGAGAATAATTCATAACTTTAAGTTATTTTTGTATATGTGGCAAGATACGTAGGGAAACCAGCGTGTCCGTGGGATGCGAAATGACTTTGTTACCCCTCATCTATTTCTTCTTCATCCGTCTCATCATCATCGCTTCTCTCAGCATCCCGGCCTACGCGCCTCTCAGCTTTGCCTCCTCCTCCCTCCCAGACGCGAGCCGGCGAGCACGAGGTCTGCGCACCACCCCAGCTAGCAATGCTGCTCCGATGGCGAACGCAAGCATGAGATCCGCCGCGAGCGTGGGCTCTACCGCGTGTGCGTCCCCATCTCCGGCGTGCCTCCCCCATGGTCGGCCGCGCGAGGTCCGGCTCCTCCCCTTCTGCCAGGAGAACGGTTTGTCAGCAGAGAGCAGAAATCAACTATTAGTAAGAGGCGAAAGCAACATAGACCCAATCTGTTGAAGCCAAACCGATCAATACGAACCCAGGTAGGGTTTCGTCTATTAGAGGCGAATAGCTCGTCTGCATATAGATCGTCGTCCATAGCGAAGGGGAGCAAGCCTCCGCGAGCGCTGGGAGAGTCAAATCCCATAGGGAGAGGTAAGAAGAGAGATGGGGGAGGAACCAAACCGACAAGGGGACGACCCGATGAACATCGGAGTGGCTGGGAGCACGGACGGGCCGAGGGAGAGCGGAGCCATGCCGGTCGGCCGCAGGAGGTCGCGCGGAGGGGGGCAGCCGCGGGCGGCGGGCCTGGCTAGCCGCACGTGGCCCATGCCACCCGCGCCGCGCCGTGCAGCGCGCATGCCGTGCCACGGGGGTCCGCCCGCGTGGGGGGTGGGAGGAAGGGAGGGGGGCTGGCCGTAGCAGGCGCAGGCGTCGTTGCGTCGCGCTCGTCTCCGCGTCGCCGCTTCGGGAGGGAAGGGAGAGAAATGGCGGGAAGGCAGAGAGAGGGAGCTCGAGCGAGGAAGGGATAGAGATAGAAGAAATAGATGAGGGGCAAAAATATTATTTTCCGTGGCTGGTCTATGCTGTCAGGTCGAGTTGGCGTGCCACGTCGTCGAAAATGACAAGAATGTATCAAATGATCTCACTTGATTGTAAATATATAGAAGCAATTTTAATAGTGCTATATGAAGAGGTGACATCCGTTATAATGATAAAAAGTTAAATATCCCGAAACGCTGGTAGACGAAGGATTGAACTATTGAAGGCTAGTTGCTGTTGCCGTGCTGCGCTAGTAGATGAAGGCGCGTTGCTGCTAGTTGAGACGAAGAGGGAAGAAGCCTGGCACTATATATGGTGCACCGACCGAACGGTTGCGATGCAGCCCCCTCCGATCCCGATCCGGATCCTGTACGTGTTCCGATTCCGAACCGACGAGGAACTGGGTAGACGAACGCCGTGGCCGAAGAGAAACACTTCGAACTAGAACCATAACAATGGGCTTACCCAGAATAGTGGGCCAGCCCAATACGTCACACGAATCCGGGCCCGTTCGCGGAAGCGGACCACCAGTCTTCCGTTCGAGCTCCTCTATCCACTCGCAACGCCCGAGAGAAAGCGGAGGTCCGTCCGCTCACTCCCGCCCCGTCCGCAACCACCACCAGCGCGGCCGCGGTGCCATGGGCTCCGTCGCCGCCGCCTCCTCCTGCTCAACCGTACTCTCCTCCTCCCTCTCAACTCCATTCCGAGCAAGGCTACTGCTGCGGCCGGGCCACTCGGTACGCGCCCCCCCCGCCCCCCGCCCCCCTTTCGACTGACTGCCGTCGATCACCTGGCGCGGGTCGTGTCTGCAGGTGCTGAGGTGCCTCCCGAAATGCGACTCGGGGAAGCCGGTCGGAGGACGCGCTGGGTTGTTGTCGGCTCGGAAGGCGGCCCGGCCAGCGGATCAGGGAGGGTCCAGGCGGCCCGCACAGTTCGACGCGTCGATGTGCGGGCTCGCGTTCGCGGCGGTGGCGGGGGTGATAATGCTCCAGGGGTCGCAGCAGGCGCTTGCCGCCGCGCAGTTCGCCGGCCTGCAGCCGGCGGACGTGCTGGGGGATCTCGGGGACATCAGTACAGGTTTTGCTTCAGTTACGACAACTATCTCTGCTCTTTGATGATTTCCCAACTCATGTATTTTTTGTGTACAGTTACCTGCAGATTGATTGTTGTATTCAGATACATTTCCTTTTATGCGAATTGCTTGGTCGTTAATCTTTCTATCCACTTTTGTTCTGAATTTCAGGCTTTCCTGTTGATCTTCTTTTCTGAGCTAGGGGACCGAACATTCTTTATTGCGGTAAGTACTAGTGTTCGCTCCCCAAATACAGTTAGATTGTTCTGTCGCATCAGATGTACTTACTATTACGAACAGTTTGATTGATTAAACCGTATGTTAACTCTAAGGCTGAAGAGTGTAGACTATAAACTGAAAACATCTTGTCAACTCAACACTGAATATCCAATTTGTACCTGTATGAACGCAACTGGTACCTTGCCGAAATAAAATGCAGATTGCAGCAGGGTTAGATGCCTGACAGGAATTGAAGCAAAACATAGTAGTATAGCTGGAGCAAAAAAAGAAGAGGATGTTGTGCCGATGGTGCAGACTGCTGTCACCCCAACTCCCCAAGCATGGGCTATGGAACAGCAATTAAGGCCTCTGCTTGCATGCCAGAACAGCAAGAGGCTACCGCAGGAATGAAGAATGACATCGGTGACCTCTCAGATTCATTGGGACGAGATAGCAGGAGAATCGAGGGGATGTATTCTGTTGGATGTGAGGAGGTCTTATGGAGGACAATTATAGGTTCAGGGTGTATTACGGAAGTATTAAGTGGAAGATGAAGGGCCGAAGGGCAGCCGATTAAATTGATGTATCCACAATGGCAACTGAAACTACCGAAGGAGTTGAAGCGGCACAGATGTGGTAAGGACAGAGGACAACAGACGGCCAAGATAAGATGAATGTTTAAGATTTTAAGATCAAATGGTTAAAACAATAGTGATGACGTGCCTTTGCAAGAGAAGAGAAAAGCTAGTATTCATGGCACTTACTGGGTTATAGTTATATAGGATATATTGATTTTTGGCCCTCTAGACAGATGGGCTGCACAGATATGGGTGTTCAAGGGAGACTGTGTATTAGTGAATGCTGTAAATGTCATGAAAGAAATATTTTCTATTTCCAAAATATGTTTGTTTCTTGCAAATTGCTTTGCTTCAGATCTATACCATACAATAATTTTTCAGTAATATATACTAAAATGAGTCATTGATAAATGCTGCAGTTGCATGTGTTTGATAGGCACTGTTAGCGGCTAGAAGTTCTGGAGCAGTCATTTTCTTGGCACATTTGGAGCTCTTGCGTAAGTATTTTCATGCTTGTTGTATTCTATGTCTCATCTTCAATACTGTCACAGGCTTTAAGTGCTTCTAGTTTCATAATTGAAGTTCCCGGTATATCTGGCATTACATAGAATTCTTTTTTCTGGTGATTATCAGGGTAATGACCGTTATATCTGTAGTTCTTGGTCGAGCATTCCACTATGTTGATGGCATCATCCCATTCGGGTAATTATCTTAATTGTGCAAGTAGAGTTTCTATTGGGTGCTCTCATTTATCCAATGTCTGGTTGCGTGCAGCTTTGGTGGTACTGATTTTCCAGTTGATGACATTGCTGCGGCATGTCTGTTGGTAAGGATTATGCATATTCATTACACACAAACAAATTAAAAAGTGCATGGATTTTTTAAAAGAATGTGTGGCTTTTACTCTTGAATTATTGTGTGAAGTTAAGACATACTTTATTATTTATGGCCAACTTTAACGGATTCAGGTTTATTATGGGGTTACTACATTACTTGATGCAGCCTCAGGTGATGATGAAAAGATCAATGAGGAGCAAGAGGAGGTAGGACTTTAAGCTGTGCCAAGAACATCATTTTTAGTTTTCATGTTTAACTAATACATCAATTCTAGGTATTAATTCATAATCTTGATCTAGTAAATGTCTTTCATGCCTGTATATTCTCTCTAAGTTTTCACTACTGATTATAATGGTCTCTAAACATGTTCTTTTTTGTTCAATTTTTGCTTGCTAATGGTTTGCTGAGTTGAAGATGACACGAACTTTGGTGTTGGGAGTGTACATGCACACATCCCGCCAACAGAGCTAGGCTCAGTTCTCCAGCCTCCCTGCTTTCATCTTCAATTCCAAGTTTTATACGAAAGTATACAGAATAGCCCAATCCATTCCTTCTTGGCCTATCTTCTGCTTATAATGAAGCCCTTCTAAGAGTACTGTAACACTTAACATGATTTCTACATTATATCCTTAAAAGGAAAACTCAAAACTATGCAAAAATTATATGTATGTAAGTTGGACCACGAGAAAAAAATAGAATTTATTCTCAAAAAAAAAAAACGAAACAGAAAGAAAATATATACCTTATGATAGATTGGTAACTTGCACAGTTATTGTGGTTCACAAAAATAATTTTTCTTGTGCATGAACATACTTCTCTCTCCTCTATAACATTGTGTTGAACAATTGTAGGCCGAGTTAGCAGTATCGAAATTTTCTGGAAATGGTTTGGGTGTCATGTCTGCTGCTGGTATTATCACTAGCACATTCGTATTGGTTTTTGTCGCTGAATGGGGTGATAAATCATTTTTCTCCACAATTGGTACATTTCCTAACTCCACTCTATAAATGGTCAGATTTCCATGAGCATAATCAATATTGACACTACTTTCCAATACCTTGGCAGCACTTGCGGCAGCTTCATCCCCTCTGGGTGTCATTGCAGGATCACTTGCTGGTCATGCCATTGCAACATTGGTAAGATAAGCATAGTAATAGGTTGAGAGTTGAGATTTGAAACCAGATAACTGAAGTAAAAAAAGTAATGATAGTACATTGCTGGATACGAGTGCAGCCAGACAACATTGGTTCGCAGGAACACTCATGACTAACATACTTGAGCAATGAGCATAATAATATTGCCATGGAGTTCAGACAAATCTTTAGCACTTAAACCATTTGTTAGTTCGTTGGTCTGTTTTTGCCGCAGTATTTGTTTCTTGCAAGAGTCTTCTCTAATTGTTGTGCATTAGGAAGTCTGCAATTCTGCACTTACTTGGCTCCATTGGAGTATTCGCCATACAAGAATTTCTGTCGTGGATTGAGTACAAGGAGCAAATTTGTCATTGTGTACCAATCAGTGTTGTGCCGCAATTTTTTATATTTCTGTCTTTGGTTTTCCAGGCCAAACTGAGATTGACACCTTTTTTTCTCACAGATTGCAGTTCTTGGTGGCTCTTTGCTGGGAACATTCCTGTCTGAAAAGGTAAATTAGGAAATAATTGTACCATGGAAACTGAAATTTCCTATCTTACAGTGTTTGACCACTGCAAAATCTAAAATACACCCAATTTATAAGTTTGCTTTCAATGTGTTTCAGTTGGATCCATCACAAGTGTTTACATAAGCAGTTAAATGTGTAATAGAAAGGGAATCCTTTTTTTCATCCATTAAACAATTACATACTTTAGTGTAGAAAACAACATGCACTGGGTACGCCCTTAGTGAAGAAAACAACAACTATTGGCTTGCTAATGAAATCTTTGATAAATTCTGTGGACCATTCATTTCATAAAGTCTGTGTACATAATGGCACTGAAACAAAACATTGCCCTGTGCAGATTGTAGCATACATTGGAGGGAGCCTGTTCTTGGCCTTTGCTGCGATTACCATAGTTGAGATAGTGACTTGACAAAGAGTTCCAGCTCCCATAATTCATCAAAGAAGTACTGATCTTTTGTCCGGACAATGAAAAATCAGCTTAGCTGATCGTAATGATAGTACATTGATGTGTTATCAAACGTGATTGCCCACAGGAACTTCATTGTTCGCATGGGAAGTCCTAGGCTTGCATAGAGTGATTTGTTGCTGGTGGTGAGAATTCTGCTTTTTTATCCAAGAACAGTGTTTTTATCATCAGCATGACGTGTAGTTGAAACACTAAGTCAGAGACTGGGTGGAAGATGCAACTAGGTGGAAAACTATGAATCCCATGAAGCTACTGGATCTCCCCTTACATTATTTACAAGTATATGTATATGAATCTAAGCATTGTAAATGCAAAAGACGATCGCACTGAGGTTCATTCCAGAAACAATGATGAACCTGATTGAACTATTTTGGGCTTTCAGTCTTGTACACTTTCCCCCATTTCCTGTTAGTACACAAAAAAAGATGATTGAACATGCGCTGCCAGTGACCGGAGATACTCAGCTTTTGTATTTCAGAGTATTCCTTCTACCTTTTCTGTAGCAATGTATAATGTTCAGAAAATGGAGTTCTGCTCAGTTCTTTCAATGACACTCGTAGTGTCCAAAACCTGTCTACCTTTCAGGTATAAATATAATGAAGAATCGGGAGTGGTTATCGAGCCCTCACATAAAGCTAAGATATTCTGCTAGTTTCACAACATCTGAAGAACATGAGCTGCATTTCCGTTCTTCGGGTTTCCTTTGTATATGGTCATGGTCGCCTCGTCGAGGTCAACCAAAACAGTGCACAAAGTGTACAATATCGGACCTGAAAAGCAGTTCCCAGGGTGTTAAAAATCAGTTCATGATGCAACAACCAATGCTCATCAGAACACATGAAAAAAAATGTTGAGCAGATTGAGAATCGCCTGTCATGCAGATTGGGTACTTCTCATCAGCTGTATCTCCCAGCAGCGAAAGCGCCGTCTCTTTGGAGTCCACTGGGCACTGCGCAGCTCTCTTCTCCCTGCTCATGGAGTTCTCGTCCTGCACCTTCTCAACACAACGCCAGTTCACTCGTCAGTTCGTCAGCCATCGAACTGCCGAATCAATTCAATCCAATGGCTTCGATGTCCGTACCTGCTTCACTTGGAGATGCCGGTACATGTTGGCGTGGAAGAACGGCAAGGCACCGGCCTCGCGGACGGCGAACCGGTTACCGGAGGCGGTCTCGACGTTGACGATCCTCCGGCCTCTGATGTCCATCAGGTTGTAGTTGTGGCCGACTGAGACGAACGGTGAACAGACCCTCTGTACCACGATCAATTGTGGCTTTTATTACTGCTGAAAAAAGAGCTAGTGACATGGAGTTCAGTCTAGCTAGCTACGTACGTGCATTGCATCCTCGAGGTTCTTCGCTTCTAGCAGGTCCCGGGACACGAAGTTCAGGGCAATGGCGCCCGCGACGATCTCGTCGTTCACCGGAGGAACCGCGTTGAGCGTGAAGGCCTGAGAAACGGGCGAGTATTCCAAACTCCTCAGTTTGGATGGAATAGAATCTGATTGATGTGGAAATAGAAATGCAGACTGCAGCGAGCTTACCACTCCATTGGTGTTGAACCCGAAGGCGCAGCTCGGGAGCTCGCCGGCGTAGGTGTAGGCGGTGAAGGACACGCCATCCGGCAGCGTGGCCCGCACAAGGTACGTGTGGCCGAGCAGCGCGACGTTCCCGTCCTCGTTGTGCGCGGCGATCGCCGTGGAGTCGCTGACGATGAGGACGTCGGAGCAGTCATCGTCGGCCTCCTCCTCCTCCACTTCCTCTTCCCGGGCGCGATCACCTCCCTCCTTCGGGTCCTTCGGGATGAAGGGCAGGACCTCCTTCCTGAAGTTGACCAGGATGACCTGCTCGGAGCCGGACCGACGGAAGCAAGAGACGGGAACGACGCAGTCAGCGGCAGGAAGCCAGGAACACCGGCGGCGTGCGTCGCTGTACTTACGTGGAGGAGAGGGACCCCGCTGCCGTCGGCGGTGCCCACCAGCTCGTCCCAGTACCGCGGGTACCTCTCCCTGTTGGCGGACTGGAGCGCGGCGAGGAGTGGCTGCGCCTCCGCCGTCGACGCGAACGGCAGCAGCTGCTCCCGGAGCACGAGGTCCTGCCGCATCCTGCTCCTGATGACCTCAGCGAACCGACGGCCCACGGCGAGACCCAGGGCGTACCCGTCCGCACAGCGGCCGGCGTCGAAGGCGTCCAGCTCGCCACCGGCGGCCATGTTTCGAACGGCTTTGCTGCGGTGCTGCGGTGCGGTGCCGTGCCTTATCTCCAAGCGCGCTGGGGGGCGGCGGCGCGGGGCGGGGCGGGGCTGGCATGTGTCCCGATTTTTAGCCCACCGAGGCACCGATCAAAATAACCCATCCGGCCCAGTAGATTGGAGCCTCCCAACCTACTCGGCCCACCAGGATGAGAATGGACCAGATCGACCCATGGGTAGTCGGTAATGGGCGAGAGAAGCTGGCCTCAAAGTCTAAAATGGACCGATAGGACTCAAACCTATTTACTAGATGGATAAGATTCTCAAATGTCAGGTAACAACTTTTTTATTTTGTTTGTCTTCTTTGTTTTTCCAAAAAAAATAAAAATAAAAGGGTTGGTCATAACTTGTAAGCATGTCTATGCTTGAAAGTAGATCGAGGAATACCATATTTCGAAAGTGACGATAGATAAAATTAAAATCATGGTTTACTTGTGAACTTATTTAATTTGATGCATTGCTAATAACCTTCATGCAAAAATTGAGGATGAGGGAAAATGTGTACTAGGAGAAACAAAATGACAAACCAATGATAGAATTGCCGGGTGCACTCTTTACCTCGATCTGCAGTCCGCATCAATTTCATCCTAATTTTCTTTTTTTTTCTCTCCTTGTAGAATTTTGCATGAAGATGGATGTTTTCATCATCTATTCATTCATATTTTAGGGTAAAATTTTCAAGCACTTTTTGATGGTTTTTTTAATTGGAGTACGGGAGCACCTAAGGGCATGGGGACAAGGATATGTTCTCGCGCTTATAGTATTCATGACCCATGATAGCAGAAATTTTTGTGTCGCCTCATGCTACCAACTGGGCCAGAGAAGCCATAGCCTTTTGGTGAAATGGGTTAGCCCGTCACCCGTAAAATTGATCTTGAGCCACTAGATTGCATCTAATAAGGTCAAGTTGTGTTTGGTCCATTTCCATCCCTATAGCCCGGACATCTTTATTATTAATAAAATAATAACACCAGGGCAAAAGCCCTAGCTTGCCCTTTAGCACCTTCCCATTCCTCCTTAGATTAGGTTTGTAGACGAATCCACAAATTGTGTCCTTAATTTACCTTATTTTTCAGTTATGTGTTAAAAAATAGGCATTTTTTTTGCATAAATGTGTCCAAAGTACAGGTAGTAGAATTCTTGGTTCGATGCCCCAGTAGTGTTTATTCTCCATTTTATCAGCCCAATGCCTTTCGACTCACAACGGGACAGTGATCATGCTTACCGTATGTGTTTGGTTTACCTAAATGGCTAAATCTCTTCGGCAAAATATTGAGAGTTAGTTCTGGTGTTTTTGGCTAGAAACGTGTTTCACCACGTTTAATTTGGCATTGATTCTAACTATTATGGTAAGAATCAGAACCGTTCCGACTTGCCAAATAGGGCCTAAGATCACATAGTTTCAATAGAAACCCAAAATCTTCTTCCTGAATATTTTTTTGAAAGATTGAGAGGAGGGGCTGCCCAGCCCCTACTGGTCAATTAATATATATTTATATTTATATACATCAGTACAGAAAATAAGTCTAAGGTACAAAATCATGAAACAAAGAAATATTTCTATTTTTTATAGAGAAAAAGAAAAACAATAAGCCACACCAATGCAAAGCCATCCAAATCTATTCATGTTCAGGCGCCATTTATTCTCCCTCTCTCCTCGGTAAAACAAGATGAGTAGCACTTGAAAGGCCCAAAGACCAAAAAGTACAAAACCCTAATAAAGAAAAGGGTACTCCAGCACTGGTTCATCGGGAAAGGCCGGGAGCCCATGCACCTCGAAATTTGGAGGCGCCCACATCTGAAGCCATTTTTTAAGGCCTCGTTTAATTCTCCCTAAATATTTTATATTCTATCACATCGAATGTTGGATCCATGTATAGAGTATTAAATATAGACTAAAAAATAACTAATTGTACAGATTATGACACTCTGCGAGACGAATCTTTTAAGCCTAATTAGTCCTCGATTCGACAATGTGGTGCTACAGTAACACATGTGCTAGTGCGGATTAATTAGGCTTAATAAATTCGTCTCGCGGTTTACTGACGGATCCTATAATTTGTTTTTTTATTAGTATCCGAATACCCCATACAACATCTCTATGTAATATCCGATGTGACGCCCGAAAACTTTACACTCTAGATGTAAACAAGGCCTGGTGCATCCAATGGGGTTTAAAGGTGTTTTAAGATTGTAGGTTGCAGACATGAGTTGGGAATTGGTGCAGGCCTCCACATGCGCAGCTCGGTGTTTTAAGATTGTAGGTTGCAGACATGAGTTGGGAATTGGTGCAGGCCTCCACATGCGCAGCTCTGTGAGTTCCAATCCCCTCCCGCTCCCCATCCACTGCCAGCCTCGCTGTCTGCTACTGCCTTTGGCAACTTTAGGGTTAGGGTTTCACACCTTGCATTGACAAACGCCATCCCTTTCTCTCTCTTCCCCGGAGGGTCTTGTGTAGAGTCTTCTCGTCATTGTTGACAAGTTGCAGGCAGCCACTGAAACCATCCATGGGGAGAAGGGGTGGTGTTCAGAAATGAGTGTGTGTGAGAAGAAAAAGAATGGCCGCAGGCTGCGAACTGTGAGTGTGTTTCCTTAATTTGAAGCACGCAGAAAGCATGAGTGAGAAGAATGCTTGGCAAGTGTGCTGGGAACTGGCTGCCATGGCTCTCAGGTTCTTTACATAGTCCGGCCAG